CATTTGTTTTATTTCTGTATTTCTTTTATTATTCTTTATTTGATTTATTTGTTTATTATTTATTTATTTAATTAACTATTTGATCTATTTTATGTATTCATTTAATTTGTTTATTATTTTTATTTATTTAATGTATTCATTATTTTTTATTTTATTTATTATTTGCATTTTTTATTTAATTTGTTTATTTAATTAATTATTTTTATTTAATCTATTTGCTTTTTTATTTGTTTATTATTTTTGTTTGTTTTTATTATTTATTTTATCTATTAATTATTTTATTTTATTTATTTGATTAATATTCTTATTTATTCTCTTTATTTTGTGTATTATTTTACTTAATTTTGTTTTCATTTATTATTTTTATTCATTTATTTAATTTATTCAATTATTTATTTTAATCTATCTATTTATTTTTGTATTCCTATTTTTAAAGTCGCTCTGGGTAAAAGTATCTGCTTAGTGAGAGAATGACTGAGGGGTCAGTGGAGTCTCATTCAGAGCAGCTTCAGTTACTGCAAACTCAGGATGTGAGACGGCCTCCTGCTGCCTCATGTTCAGTCTGAGTTCAGAAAGATGGAAAACCAGGCGAGTGCAGGAGGGAGAAGCACACTCCCCCCAGTTAGAGTTCTCTTTGTGTTTATTTTTGTGATCTTTATACAACAAAGAAGCCCCAGAATCCCAGAGGAGGAGCGGTCTGTATAATAATAATAATAATAATAATAATAATAATAATAATAGTAATAATAAATTATCATTATTATTTGGTCCCTGCTCAGGTGTGGAACCACCAGAAGAAGAGGTTTACATAAAAGTTTTATCCAATATATGAAAAAAGAAAAAAACAAACAAGTAAACACAACTTTGAACAACTAATCAAGACTAAATGGTTTGTGTCTCGTTGCTCTGGTCCTCCGGTTGTGGTCAGCGTTACCATGGTTACGGTTTTATTCTCATCCATCTGGACGGGTCAGCGGAGCCTCAGAGGAACTAAAACACAAACGCAGCACAAACCTCACCAGTCTGAGACGCTAGATCAGAGCTTTTGGGAGTTTTACCACTTGACCTTTGACCCCGTTACTTTTTGTGACAGTTGGCTAAATTAGACGTGTTATTATTGTTATCATTATCATTATTTTTGTGTGTGTGTGTGTGCATGTGAGTGTGTGAGACTGTGTGTGTGTTTGTGGGCATGTGTGTGTGTCTCTGAGTGTTAGTCTGTGTGTGCGTGTGAGAGAGAGTGTGTGTGTATGTGTGAGTCTGTGTGTGTGTGTGTCTGTGTGAGT